ACGTAAATACAAAAACACAAGTGATTTCAGCAGTGAAACTCATTTCCTAAACTCAACTTCATCTGTGCCTAGGTGCTATGCAAACACTAAGTGCATCAATGTCTTGAGCTGTGTTACATAAATGTAAAATGTGATTCGTGTATATGTTTATAACCATAAACACACACTAGTTTGTAGTCTACAGAGACCTAAGTTCTTTGACAAATTAAACAGGGATATTTGTACTATTCCTGGTAACTGTCCATAACTGGAAAATCCAACCCTCTATTGGGGGATTCTAACTCTTGTATCTTCAGCAAATAGCATTATCAATATTTTAAAGTCAGATTTGACCTCTGGTGAGTAGCAGCTGGTTCTCCCTTCCTCTTGAGATCCTTCTATGAGGTGGCTTCTTGCAGTGGCGTGCCCGACAACACTAACCGCCCTGCCTGTAAGTAGTGTGCATACCCAGGAAAGGGATTCCTGGGGGAGCTTTCACACATCCCTGATCCATCATCCCGCTCTGTCCAGCCCTCACTCTGCATTCCACCTTGATTTTAGTGTCAACCTTCAATGTTCTTTCAAATTTCTATAAACTCCACTTAATGGGGTACATTTCTCTTTTGTGTGAAAATGATATAGACTATGTATAAATTCTTGTCCACCACATCAAAAAGAGGTGATTAACAAAGGCATTTGCTGCTGGGCCGGCGTGGCTCAGGGGTTGAGTGTCGATCTATGAACCAGGAGGTCATGGTTTAATTTCCAGTCAGAGCACATGTCTGGGTTGTGGCCTTGGACCCTAGTGTGAGGTGTGCTGTATGCAGGTGATTCTCTCACATCATTGATGTTTCTATCTCTCTCTCCCTGCCTCTCTGATATCAATAAAAATATTTAGTAATTTAAAAAAAGGCATCTGTCCATCTTGATGAGACATTTTCACAGCAGTACAGGCTGGAAACTCTACCACCCTGGGCATATCTGGGGCCCCTGAGGCCACGAGAGCTGCACAGTTAGTTCGAATCAGACCCAGGGTCCCAAAACACCCTCGTCACCTCCTCCCTCTAGGACAGCAGAAGGGCTTGCAGAACCCAAAAGAGGCAGAAAGCCTTTCTTCTCTGCGGAAACGAATCCTCTCAGGAGAGTTCTGTTTCTACTGGAAATCCAAGACTTTGCAAGCAAACATGATAAGACTTTGCAAAGTCACTAGAAGAATATGAGTGTGGGGCTTAGAACACTTAGGTGGGCTGAGGGGAGGGAGGTGAGAACTGGGATAAGTGTTCCCTTTCATTCGAGTCTCTGTAGGCAATGATTTCCCTACTTAACCAGAGAAAGGCAATGGAAACTGCTTCTCTCTCACCTATTAAAAGGAGAAAGATGGGTATCTTTAATTGAAAGCAAGGCATCACAAAATTCTTTAATTATAGGCTCAAAGAGGCTTTGAGCTCATCTTGTATCTCCTTGGCTTTCAGCAGGATGGTATTAAACCTTTCTAAAAAGATAAGACTCAACCTATTTTTAGACATACCCAGAGAGGGTATTCTGTCCTCTGTTCCTTTGTGAGACCGGGATTTCCACACACCCCCCTTTTCTAACCTCACCACAGGTAAACTTTTCCTATTCCTCACCTGAGCCTTCACATTAGAATTTGGCTTGGTTTGCTCAGTGGAAATGGTGACCAGCTGGTCACCGTTAGCCTTTTCTAAACTGTACTTCCATCTTCCCCTTTATATGACATTATAACAATTAAATAGGAATTGAATCAATAAATTTGGAGCTAGATGCCCAGTGCCTCATTCATTGACAAAAGACTATCATCCTTCTTTTTCTTATATCTTTTTCTTTCTCTTCTATCAGCTCCAATGCTGTTTCTCCCTTCCCCGTCTCTCTCCCAAATTGCTCACGTGCACACACACAAACATTACAACACATGGGCACATTCCCACTCCGATAAATTTAAGAACACCTCTTGGATAGCTGGTTAACATTTAGACCTTGGCCTTCACTAGTCATAACAGGGGGTAATAGTTAAAGGCACAGACTCAGGAACCCACTGTCAGGGCTTAAATCATGGCTCTGGGTTCTTGGGCACATTTTGTAACCTCCCATTCTCTCTATTTTCTCACCTGTAGAATGGAGACAATGCTAGTATCTATCTTGTAGGGCTGTAGAAAGGGTTAATGAGTTAACTATAATGGTGTCTAGTGCTCCAATTGCAAGTGCTATCTAGTTGTGAACTATTGTTATGCCCTCCTTGAAGCAAAAGGACATTTGGAGGCAATTACTATGCTATGCCTGATATTCAGAAGGCATGAGTTTGAGAAAGACAATGAATAGGACTCAAATTTAAGGGTAGTGAATAAGCAGGGAGTCATCAAAGTGAAAGTTTTTTTTTTTTTAAAAAGAGACAAAAAGCAAATAGAATAAAATTACAGGGAAAGAGGAACAGCAGACATTTATCTTAACAGGAGATGTAGGAAGAGAAAAACATAAGGGGAATGAAAAAGGGAGACAAGAGTAGAAAGATGGACACGAGAAAGAAAGACAGCAGAAAAAGACTGAGCATTAGAAAATATTCTACTTAAATTAGAAAGGACTCCATTTACAGTTTGGGCTGGGTATCAGGAAAAGGACTGGAAGAGAAAACAAAAATGTTGGCTATAGAAGCAGGGAAACCCAGGACAAAGGTGATAGGGGGAGAGGAGATAGAAGTGATAACATAAAAAGATTCCTTTGCAGCTACAGGCCTCTGTGATTTCATATCAAGGGAAGTCCTTTCAAAAATGCACACGTCCATAACCCACGAGGCTTCTTTCTCTATCTCTCCTTCCGGGGTCTGCCACAGACTTAGTCATAAGGTCTGTACTGATCAGATAGATGCCTGCCTTCTGTCTTGTCTACTCCACCCAGCAAGGCCCAGATGCAGTGACCCAGTCTTGGTTGCATTTTCACTAATTGCTCTAGCCATCCAGTGAAAATTTAGCTACGGAGGAAACATTTACACTCTCTTCCTTCCCCAACCATTTACAAACCTCTAAGGGAAACTGGTATTTTAATTTTTTTTTTAATTTTCATCTTAACAGCATTCTTTCCATCCCCACCACGGTGGCTTTTTTTGGTCAATTTAGAAGAAGAAAAAAATGATACAATACTGTAGGGATAGGCCACGTTTAGGGCTCCAAACAGCCCTTCCCACCAAAAGGAATTCATCACCCAACCCCTGAGAAACAAGAGAAAGGCTAGATTGAGGTTTAACATAAATTTTTAAAAAATACTTTTTTAAGTATTATTAAATTGTCTGTTGATGCAAAGTCAGTCCCCCTATTGGAGGAAGTCGAGCGACCTTAAAAGGCCCTCTACAGTGGACGGGCCGCGAGCGTCTCCTCCCGCCGGGGTGAGCTTGGGCCGCCGCCGGAGTCACGGAGCCAGACACGGCGCGCGTCCCCGCCCCGGACTCCGGAGACTGCGGCGGCGGCGCGCACCGGGGCCGGGCGGAGACGCGACTCCCGCAGACACGTGACCGCCCCGCCGCCGCTCCCCGCGACCCAGATCTGTCCCCGGAACCCGCGCCCCGCGGGGCGAGCCGAGGGACACGTCGTTGACAGCCCCAGCCCCCGCCGCGCCCGGGTGCGTGTGCATTCGGCGTCCTTCTCTGGGTTCACGTGCCGCTGGCAATAACGACTGTGTCGGGGGGACACCCGGGAGAATGTGGGCACAGAGAGGAGAGACCTTCGGTCTTAGATCTATCCATATACATCTTTGGTTTTAGATCTATCCACATCCATCTCCATCCCGCTCCCGCAGACCTTGGGGCGGGAGACCAGGGATTCCCGCAGGATCTGCTTGCCCTTGGCCTCCAAGGCCCTTTGCCGCTGGCCAGGGTCGGTGCACATCTCCCGCACCTCCCGGGAACTCTCACTGGCACTGAGTCACGTTCCCGGGCTGGGCCGGGGGACGGGGGTGGAGGTAAGCCCGGCTCCCGCTGGCCCGCGCTTCCTCTCGGAGTCGCCCGGGCTGCCGGGGGAGCAGGGAGCGCGCCCGCCCGCCCGCCTGCCCGCGCGCGCGCGTCCCGGGTTCCCCGCGCAGTGATGTGGCAGCCGCGGCGGCAGGTCGGATCACGTTGCTGGCCCTGTGCTGGTCCCCGTTGGAGACGGGATTAAGGAGGGAGGCTTCAGAGGTGCTAGCGGTAGTAAACGTGGGCTCCGCACGCTCCCGGCGCCGCTTATCGCACGAGGTGGGAGGAGAGGGGAGAGGAAGCGCGCAGCGCCTCCCGGGCGAGGAGGGGCGGCGGAGTTGAGCGGGCGAGATACTGCTGCAGAGCTTCTCCGCGGCAGCCCCTCTCGTGCCACCCCCTCTCCTCCCCTCCCTCCCTCTCTCTCTCCCTCCTCCCTCTCTCTCTCTCCCTCCTCCCTGCCGCGCTCCTCCGGGAGCTCCCGAGGCCCCAACGTCATCCGCCGCTGCGATTAGTGGCACCGCAATTCCGGCGGCTGCGGGAAGTTTGGGTGGCCCAGGGACACCGTCGCCCAAAGACTCTCTTGGATTGCGACGTTCAGACCCAGGGACATTCTGATTTATCTTCAAGCCTTTATGGGAGAGGGTTTCAAGTTGTCTCTTGTCGGGGCCAAGGCCAAAGGGTTCTCTCCCCCGCCCCCCCAGGCCACTGAACGGTGTGCAAACAAGTCTCCCCAAATTTCCTTCTGGACTGAAGTTTACCCACCGCGAATTCTCTTTCTCTTTCCTTTCTCTGGTCCAAACCAACAAGCACAGTCGGTGGCAAAGCAAAAAAAAAAAAGCTACGTTCACGTTCCTGTTCCTGCACCGTAATGACGGAAGGAATGAGGGAGTCACATTTCCGAGCCGAGGAAGCCCCGGCTGCCCCGCACCCCCACCCCCACCCCCACCCCCCGCGGCACCCCTCTTCCTCTCCCAGCTGACTGCAGCGCCTTTGGGAAGATGAATAGCTTGGCTGAAGTTGTTTTTCCTTTCCGGTGGCCCTGATCAGGTGTCCCCGCCCCCCTCCCTCCCTCCCGCCCGCCGCTCGCTCTCCCTGGCAGACTTCTCCCGACGCCCCCTCCCGGCCCGGCCCCTCCCCTCCCGCCCCCCTCCGGGCCAGACCGCGGATGGTACGTTCCGCACGTGAGCCGGGTGCTGGTCTGGCCGGCGACGCGCGTGCCCTGTGGCCAAACACTGCCCGGAGTGAGAGCAAACTACCAGCAGCGCCGAGGGGCCGGCGGGAGTGCGGGTGCGAGTGTATGCGTCTGTGTGCAGGAGGGCGAGCGCGGCGGCAGGGGGGACCGACCGCTTCACACTTTCAGCCCTGCACTGAAGAGGGAGAGGAGAGACTGGAGACGCGCAGATTCCCCCAAGATCTCTCCAAGCTACCGTCCCACCGATCATAGAACAGGGGACCCCCCCTCCCCCCCCAAAAAAAGCGAAACAGAGGAAACACGGACAGCGGTGGAACATGGACGAAGGAATTCCTCGTTTGCAAGAGAGACAGTTACTGGAACATAGGGATTTTATAGGGTAAGGTGCACGCACCCTTGCGACTATCTTGTCTGGGCTTCCGTTTGATTTTTTTTTTTTCTCCTCCTCCTTCTTCTCAAGAAAGTGGTATGGAGCGGGCGAGGGCAGAGCCCCCTCCCGAATGGGTGCCTGATGCTGATTTCTGTTTTGCAGCCTGGACTATTCCTCTTTGTATATGTGTAAACCCAAAAGGAGCATGAAGCGAGACGATAGCAAGGTAAGAGGAAGTTTCCGATGTTCCCTTATAACCTGCCTGGAGAGTTAATTAGAGCCATTGATTTCAAGGCGGCGAATCTCTGCCGGCAAATACATTCCAGCCCTAGAGCTTCCAGGACTGTGAATTTTAAGTGGTTTGCTGGATACTCTCAGGGGGAGCTTGAACATCATACCTGAATTTAAATTTCATTTCAGAGCAGTCCAGGGGAAAGAGGTTTCTTTGGGCATAGTTTATCACACAGTGTGTGTTTTGGGTGGTGGGGGATATTGCTATACCTAGTAAATACATGTTTATCTTAGTGTTTTCTCTCTTCCATGACTCGCACCTATTAAGGATACCTATAAATTACCGCATAGATTGATAGAAAAGAAGAGAAGAGACCGGATTAATGAATGCATTGCTCAGCTGAAAGATTTACTGCCTGAACATCTGAAGTTGACAGTAAGATGCACATTTTCCTTCTTTGCTGCTCTCCAAGGGCTTGTGAATATAGCCTGGTCCTCACTACTCCCAGAGATATAAGAATAAATGTAAATATCAGATGCCTTCCAAGTTATGCTATAGTGTATAGTTTCCCACAAACTCGGGAGTAGGTGCTCATAACTGAAGGGGGGGATCATCTATAACCTGTCTTGTGGAAAGCTCAAGAAGTATAGGAATAGTGTTTGCTTGAGTTGCTTGTGCTGAACGGGGAGCCGGTCAAGCCAAATGTGTGTTTTTAAGTCACCAAGTGCCCCATTCTCTCTCTTGCACCAACGCAGACTCTGGGGCATCTGGAGAAAGCGGTAGTCTTGGAATTAACTTTGAAACACTTAAAAGCTTTAACAGCCTTAACGGAGCAGCAGCATCAGAAGATAATTGCTTTACAGAATGGTAAGTCCTTTCAGGGAGGCCAATCCACCCCAGGAAGCCGGGCAGCCCACAGAGGAGCAGTGTTAGGACTCTCTCCCCGCCCCCACCTCCTTCCGCGGGCCCAGGAGCTCACTCTCATTTGTGAAATGGCTTAGACTTTCCCTTCACTGGAAAGTGCCCATTTCCTGAAGCATCCTAGAGGCTTTCAGCAGAACTCAGAGGAATTTGAAAAAAAAAAAAAATTAAGTGGCGATCGCACCCTCTCCACTGGGGTTTTTCAGCTGAGAGTAGAGCGCCCCCCTGCTCCCCCCCCCAGCCACCGCCCCCCCCCCCCCCCCCCCCCGTCTACAACCGGTGGATTATATCACTGGAATACAGGGGGGAAAGCAAGATCCCTTTAGTCAGTGCAGGGCCCACGTGATAAGCAGATGTTTTCACGTCGGTGTGTTTTTTTTTCTTCTTCTCGCCTCCATTCCCATCCCTCCCCCCCCCCCCCCACTCCATCCCCCTCCTCCTCATCCTAGGGGAGCGATCTCTGAAATCGCCCATTCAGTCCGACTTGGACGCGTTCCACTCGGGATTTCAAACATGCGCCAAAGAAGTCTTGCAATACCTCTCCCGCTTTGAGAGCTGGACGCCCAGGGAGCCGCGGTGCGTGCAGCTCATCAACCACTTGCACGCCGTGGCCACCCAGTTCCTGCCCGCCCCGCCGCTGCTGGCGCAACAGGTCCCCCTGGGCAAGGGCCCCGGCGCGCCCTCGGCCGCCCCCGCCCCCGCCGCCGGGGCCAAGGCCGCCGCCCCCGGCCCGGAGCGCGCGGGCCAGAAGCTGGAGCCCCCGGCCCACTGCGTGCCCGTCATCCAGCGGACTCAGCCCGGCGCCGCCGAGCTCGCGGCCGAGAACGACACGGACACCGACAGCGGCTACGGCGGCGAGGCCGAGGCCCGGCCCGACCGCGAGCGGGGCCAGGGCGCAGGGGCGAGCCGCGTCGCCATCAAGCAGGAGCCCCCCGGCGAGGACTCGCCCGCGCCCAAGAGGATGAAGCTGGACGCCGCCGGGGGCGGGGCGGCGGCCGCGGCCACCGCGCTCCTGGGGCCCGACCCCGCCGCCGCCGCCGCCGCGGCCGCCGCGCTGCTGAGACCCGACGCCGCGCTGCTCAGCTCGCTGGTGGCCTTCGGCGGAGGCGGGGGCGCGCCCTTCGCGCAGCCCGCGGCCGCCGCCGCCGCCCCCTTCTGCCTGCCCTTCTACTTCCTCTCGCCCTCGGCCGCCGCGGCCGCCTACATGCAGCCCTTTCTGGACAAGAGCGGCCTGGACAAGTACCTGTACCCCGCCGCCCCGTTCCCGCTGCTGTACCCCGGCATCCACACCCCGGCCGCCGCCGCCGCCGCCGCAGCCGCCGCCGCCGCCGCCGCCTTCCCCTGCCTGTCCTCCGTGCTGTCGCCCCCTCCCGAGAAGGCGGGCGCCGCCGCCGCCACCACCCTGCTGCCGCCGCACGAGGTGGCACCCCCGGGGGCGCTGCACCCCCCGCACCCGCACGGCCGCACCCACCTGCCCTTCGCCGGCCCCCGCGAGCACGGGAAGCCGGAGAGCTCTGCTCAGGAAGATGCCTCGCAGCCAGGAAAGAAAGCCCCCTGAGGCCTGGCGCTCCAGGGTTCGCGCGGAAGAATGATATGAATACGTTAAAACACACCCTATAGGTTGTTTAAGGGAGGAGGTGTCATAGATGCACGCCAGGCTTTAAAAAAACAAACAGGTGTGTTGTGTGCATTGGGGGTTCCTGTTTTGCTCATCTTCCACCACCCTACCCTCCAGCACACTAACATCTCTTCCCCACCAGCTAGCTGCAAAAGGACCTCTTCGCTTGATAGTCTCTCTCTCTCTCTCTCTCTCTCTCTCTCTCTCTCTCTCTCTCTCTTTTTTTTTTTTAAAGAACTCCCCACCCAAATAAGTTTTGCCTGCCTTTAGGCCTGTTTCATTTTCTTTTAAAACGCAGACCCCTGATACTCTAGGAAGTCAGAAGGGTCTGCTCTGCGGTGAGCCAATGGAACCAGGGTGGGAGGGGAAGGGGTGGGGGTGGGGGTGACGGTGGCCAAGGAGCTGACGTGGAACCGCAGAGTTATCTGTCAGTGACTCAAAGCTGTCCTGGCTGCTTCAGGAGGCTTTCCGCAAACAGAGGGATAATCTCTTAGCCTTGAGTTTTACTCTTCAGTATTTTGTAATGTATAGCTTTTTCAGAGACGTTATTTTTTCAAAGAGGAAGAGGAGAGGATGCAGTTGCTCACGTCTGTCCGCAACCTATTCTGAAGCGGTTTGAATGCTATCCCTTAGTAATTTGCACTTGTTTTAAACAGACGCGGAGTTTGGGCCATTGTCAGAACTTAAGTCAGGGAAGCGCCTGGGTGAGGAAGGCCAGAATCATCCTTAGTGCACTTGCTGGCACTTTAAGAAACTGTCCATGAATCAGTTGACCCATCTTCATTATATAAATGCTTGCATAGAGCGAGAGAGAGCATCTGTTCCCACCCTGCCATTATTTCATCCATCCTTTTCCTAAATTTTTATAATCTTCTTGTAAAAAAAAAAAAAAAAAGGAATGTGCACTGAATCTAAAAAACAAACAAGTCCAAAATGCTTTGTCCTTTATTCTGTTAGACCACAGAAGTGGAGGAAAGCATTAAACTAGTCCGTTTTCATTGGAAATGCTGTCAAGATTTGAATGAAGTCCTGTGAGGCCTTCCTATCTCCAAGTCTATGTATTTTTCTGGAGACCAAACCAGATACCAGATAATCACACAGAAAGCTTTTTTTTTCTTTTTTAAATAAGGCTTAAACCAAGACCTTGTCTAGATATTTTTAGTTTGTTGCCAAGGTAGCACTGTGAGAAATCTCACTTGAATGTTATGTAAGGGGTGAGACACAACAGTCTGACTGTGAGTGAAGAAAATATCTGGGTCTTTTAGTCAGTTTGGTGCATTTGCTGCTGCTGTTGCTACTGTTTGCCTCAAACGCTGTGTTTAAACAACGTTAAACTCTTAGCCTACAAGGTGGCTCTTATGTACATAGTTGTTAATATATTCAATTAATGATGTCTGACATGCTATTTTTGTAGGGAGAAAATATGTGCTAATGATATTTTGAGTTAAAATATCTCTTGGGGAGGATTTGCCGAAAAGTTGCACTTTTGTTACAATGCTTATGCTTGGTACAAGCTTATGCTGTCTTAAATTATTTAAAAAAAAAATAAATGCTGTCTGCAAGAAACCAGCTGGTTTAGAAAAAATTTAGTATGTGAAGATAAACTACAAGTTACCTTGATATTCTAGTATTTTCAGCACTCCATAAATTCTATTACGTAAATATTGCCACACTATTTTGTGATCTTAAAATTCTTACCAAGGAATAAAAACTTTAATATGCAATGTGAGATTGTCTTAATAATTAAAAAAGGCATAATGGATGCTCGATTGATTTTAAAATGTCTATGACTTCAGGGATGAGAGTCATCCCATTTCTCAAATATACAACTTTGTCATTGGCATGATATCACACGTTTCCAATCTCTTGCGAGCCTACAGGCTCTGGCTGTGTTTACCTGCTTGTTCCCAATGTATCTCAATGAAAAGTGCAAAAGAAACAACTACCAATAACTTGTGTGGTTTGTTTATGTCAGCCCCAACTCGCTAATGTTTTTTTTTTTAGGATTGGTGAATTTTTTCACTCTTCTCATCTCTGACACCAGATGGCCTCTGTTGTAAAGACCTGGCATGTATCTCTTTCACTGAGACCTGTATAAATAATGCTACCACGTAGGGATGGCTGCATTACTCAGTATATGGGAGCTCCTTAACCTTTATAAACTAATTCTTTTGTGGGACTTCCTCCTGGAATTCAAATAACGGAAATCATTTCTAGGTTTTCCTCAGATTTATAATCAAACTTGTGATCTGATACCAATGGGGTGGCGGGTTGTCAATGTTTAGTTTCAGTAATGCTCTTCACCAGCCCCTTGATGGTTGAAAGGTGTGGAAAGAAGAGTCAAAATTGATGAGAGGCAGAAAGAGTGCTCCCTCTGCTGACTTGATGACAACAGAACTGCAAGTCATAGAAAGGGGAGCCGGAAGGAACCTCAGAGATGAGTCTGTCCAGCTCCCTGCATTTATAACGTGAGGGAAAGGAAGCCCAGAGGTATCAGATGTCTCCCAAAGTTACACACCTCCTGGAACCAGCTTCCGGGGTCAGACAGGTTGTATCCCCCTTGTCAGTAAACCCAGCACTGTATGTATCTTGAACCAAATAAATTAAATTTGGGCAGTATTCATGAAATGTCATGAATAAACTACAAGAACAGGTGAGATAATAATTAGAATCCCAGAATGATAAAATGTTCCAACATTTGTATAACTTTCATATAATAAAAAAAAAGCCTTGGGGTTGGACCAGATATTATAGGTTAGTTTAGTCCGAATGTATATATATCCCTGCAATGGTGAAATTTTAGCCAAATTTCTTTATAATCTGGGATTATTCAATTTAAAACAAATATGAATCTCGAGTCAACAATCCTTCTTACATACAGTATTTCACAAGTCAAGTTTACATACACTACTTCTCAGCAAATTTTATAATGAATCGATAAATGGCCTTTCCTCCCAGAAGAGCTAAGCATATTTATAAGGCACTAGAAAGTATAATTTAATAGCTATTTACAGTATTTAGTCCTGTCATTGTGAAAACTATTTTTTCATTTAGTTCTCTGTGGCCAGTGATGCAGGCCAAAACTTTGGTGACTGCCCATCACCTGAGATTTGTTCAAATGCATGTAAAAAAAACCCCAGCCTGTTTCTGTGTCAAGGGTCAATTCTGAACTTCTCGGTGGGAGGTGATTGGCAATTGAGAGTCTAGGAAGGCATGGCTGGGCAAATTAGACAAAGGCCTTTTACTTCGTAGAAATGTGCAGAGCCCTCGTGAATGAATTAAGACCATTAGAATGCCAAAAGGCGGCTGTACTATTATGACAATAGTATTTCACTTCAGATTGCAATCTAATGTGTTTCCTTAAAACAAAATCTGTTGGCCCCTCAGATCAGTATATTTAGGCACACCCACTGTTTTGTGTTGTTTTGATGAAGTTCACAATCATCATACAGCTGCACACGTAAGTCCAATGAAGGTTCCAGTTTTGCATAGAATGTAATAGGAGGCTGACACGGAAAACTATCACATATTTTCTGTGAGGAAGGTGGGGTTGATACTAAAAACCATGTGCAGCATGTACTATAAAAATATGCTCTTAGAAAGGAGTCGGGCATTCGTCTTAAAATTAGATTTCTTGCACTTGTTCAGTGATTCCATATCGAAAACTCCAGGCAAGTATAAAACTATACCTTGTTTAAAGTTGGTACCAAAAAAAAATTCTCATTTTAATAATGCCTAATGTATCTGACCTCAGAGAACGACATGTGCCCATGAAACACTGGTCCAAGACATTGAACTTTCTGTGTCCAAGTGCAAACATTGTGGGGTTGTTTTTTTGTTTGTTTGTTTGTTTTCTTTCTTATTGTAGTGGAAAGCCTACTGAAATATGCTCTCCATGTCCTGTAAGGTATCTTACACTATGTATGTCTTAGAAAGAAATACCCTGTCCATAGTTAACCTCTCTCAATGATTCAGGGCTGTCATTATAAACACCACTTTTGTACTCTGGGTGTCATCTGGGAGTATTGGCACCTGCATTAAATTCTTTTTTAGTTCTTCAAGCTGCTTTTTATAGGTTTTTTCAGTCTCTACTCCTGGTCAGGCTGCCAGCTGTCACTTCTTGATGTGTCAGAGAGCCTGCCTCTGGCTCTTATCTAATTTGCCACTTACCTCTGACTTACTGAGGCCTGAGAAACCATGTAACCAAAACCACACCCATTTAAAATATGTCTAAAATTAGAATAAATAGACTGTAACACAGTACCTATTGGGCACTTCTCTAAATTGTGTGAGCTTGCAGAAACAGTGGAATGTTTTTCCTCTCAACCTTTTTTTCTTCATTTCTTTTAATTTTTGCATTCTTAGCAAAGTTTCATATCAGAACACTATGCAAAAGCCTTCAGATACTTTATATATATATTTGGTCATTTTATTTCATAAGAAATTAAAAAACAAAACAAACAAAACAGCTTGCTCGTGGTTTTTTTCCACAAGAACCACAAAATAAATTTCCACTCCAGTAACAAATTATTTGATCTGATGAACACTTCTGTCAGGTTGATCGGAGTAGGAGACTCAGGGTCATTAGGGAAAACTGATTCAGCCCTCACATTGATTCATGGATGGCCCTGGACCCTGCTTCCGGTGTGCAATCTCCACCTCCGGGTTTTGGACATCTTGATTGGCAGGTCCAGCGAAAGCTTTCCGGGGAACTGGCAGGGAGGGAGTGTAGGCCCAGATGCTGCCTCTGAATTTATTCATACTCACTGGTCTCCCCCCACCCCTCTGGCTACAATACACCCCTTTTTTCCTTGAGCCTCTAAATTCAATAAATGGGTGTGGGTTGCAGATACATGTTTTGCTCCTATGTAAGTGTTTTGCAGTGGTCAGTGTTGAGGAATAAAATATTAATAATCTCAGAGGAACTCCAAGTCTAGTGGGGGTGACAGGCCCACACTAAAATGGATTATAATGAAACATGGCAAG